ACAACTATGAATCATATAGAGATTCTGTGAAGAGCAGAGCATTCTGTAGCCCTGGGTAATCTTCCAGCTTTGGAACATGGTCGCCTATTTTTTTGCACATATTAACTAAATCTTCATTATATTAGGTATGCATGCAATTAGTACTTTAGCTCCCCAAGATTTTGTAACCTCTCATGCGACCCAGACAGCTCCAAAATCGAGCTGCTGGGAATCCAGTGAAGTCTCTTGCTCTTCTGAGGCTTTATGTTTTTAAGCTGAACATTTACCAAAACTACCTTGTGATAAGCAGAAAGCTGAGCTCAACAATGAGGCTGTTTCAAATTAAGAAATACTGCATCTGGAATAACAGGAAATTTCAGGCTGCTAAAATTAGTTCATGTGAATAATGACTTCTCATGCAAAACAGGTTTTTGATAAAAGCTCGACTGGTGCAGCCTCTGCAATCTGGCTGTCGTTAAGAAGAAGCATTAGAGACTGGCACTGAAACGAAGGTATTCTTTCCTAAGACATCCTTCACCTTGCATATCACAGTAACAAATATTTGTCTAGAGCATTGGTACCACAGGAACAGTTTGTTCTTCCAGTGTCATAAAGTGAAGGCTTTCATGTGAGACTGAGCTCGTGTCTGGAGGCACTCAAATCACTTGCAGTAATAATAGCTCAAAGCATCTTTAATTTATGCCTGGCTTCTGTGTTGGATTCCCCTGAGTTTCCATCTTCTTAAATGACAACAGTCTGTTCAGAGTGGCTGTGAGGCTTTGTGGGAGAGGTGGGAGGTGATGCAGGACAATTTTCTTGGATTGCCCTATACATAAATATGTCTCTGACTGGTTTGGGCATGTGCAAGTAGCTCCAGCTGTGCTGACTGTGGAGCTGGAAATGGCATATCTGGGCGGGTGTGGTGATATACTGGAATCAATAACTCCTGCTCAGAGCAGGATTAACTACCAGCATTGCACCACGGTGGCTATGCTGCTGGTGCTTATGGCCTCCCAGTGCCAGGCTGCACGGTGAGCACACCAGTGATGTGGCATGGCTGAGACAACAAACCTAGATGTTAAACCTGTGCCCGTCATTGGTGGCATCAGACACCCCAGCAGGCCTGCTTTCTCTCTGTCTTTACTGTACCCCTGACAAACACTTTCTTACGAGGCCATGTCTGCAATTTCTGGCTATTCCTGGAAGCAAGGATGAGATCTGGTTCAAAATCAGGACATGAGAGATGTGGGCTGGGTCTCTAAGTTCCCAATGCTGTCAATATGGAGCCAATGGAGACTGTAGAGAGAGATGCAAATGTACCATGAAGCAGATAAGACCACACTGTGAAGGCAGGGGTTTGAGTACGGAGCAGTGTGTGATCCAGTAGCCTCAGCATGGGCATTTGGTGCTATTTGACATGGTCCATGGTCTCCCACTCGGCCTCCATCTGCCACTCCAGAAGGAAGGTCTCTGCAGTGCATTACACTTGCCAAATCCACGTGGCTGCCCTGGACACCCCAAAGTGGCACTAAGTACATAGGTTTAGGCAACCGAATGGCACATCCCAGTGAAATGACTTCTTGCATCAACACAGGCTGGGTTGAGGTGCCCACAGGTAGAGGCCAGTGCCACTGGAGAAGCTGTGGAGTGCACAGGACTCGTGTCCCCAGCTGGCAGGTACATCATGGGGCTATGGGAGGCTGGACTGTCCTGCAACCACAGCTTGAGACCAGGCAGGACACTGAGTGACTGAAACAGCACTAACCACCTACATTAGGGTAACCAAAGTGAGCCCTGGAGTGCCACTGACTGTTACAGGAGCTGAAGGATGTAGCTCACATGCAGAGATGTTCAAGCAGGTGGTTTGGTCTCAGACCCAATCCCACACAGGCAGTGACAGTCTGGCAAACACATTACCAAGCTTCTTCTGTGGTAACACACTATTGCTATTCAGTTTGACTGTATATAATACAAATCAAGTCCTTGTTACATGAAGCACAGAAACCCTGAGAAGGTCTCCATGTCCAGCAAGCAGGAATTCACAGGACTTGTTCTTACTGAGCTGATTTAAACCTTCACAGTTGGGAATTCTCCATGTAGAAGTGGGGAATTCAGGTTTGAGGAGCGTATTTGGCTTGCTTGACAAGCCCAGCACACACTGATTTGGAAAACAGCAGGAAACAACTGAGCTGAACATTGCAGCAGCAAGAGCAGCCTTGCTTAGCAAGGGGGAAGGATTGTGGATGGTATCAAAACCTTCCACATGCTGAAGTTGCATTCATAAACCAAATGTGAAAGACACATTACTTAGCACTGTCTCATCTGTATTCCTCAGCAAGACACATAAAAGCAACAAGTGAAATAACAACAGGGCTGTCAGCAAAAAAGACCTTTAGTGCATGAACCATGGTTGAATGGGACTGAAAACTTGAAAGAAAGCAGAACCAAGTTTATCTTCAAGCAATAAGGATGCAACAGTTCACGGCCCTCCTGTGGGCTGCCAGATGGACATGTATTTTCATGGTACATATCTGACAATAAACTGAACGTAGGCAGTGGCTGAGCTTGGAAGTGAGGCAGTGTACTGCTGTCTTCCACCTGCACCCCCCTTCTTGCTGCTCTCTGAAGCTGGTACTCAAAGTACTACCAAAGCAATGGAGAAGACTCTACTTGATTGTCCTGCCATGGCTGGCTAGGACTGAAAGTGTCAAAAAACCCAACCCCTAGTCCTTCCATGCTCAGGTCTGCTTGTGCAAAATGGTAAGTTTAGGTCAGCACCACCATCCTCATCCAAAAGAGCACTAGGGAATGATGTGTGAATCAGCTTCTGGGGCATTCTGGCATGTCTGCTGACTACCTCACTGCCTTAAGTGTCCTGCTGGGCTTTGCCACAAAGTCCGAATCAGCGCTGTTGATCTTCGCTTTGTTACGCAAAACCTTTCTGCATCCTGCTATTGATGGTTGCTCCAAGATAAATCCATCCCTCTGCAAAGTTTTGTACTCAACAAATTTTCAAATATTCATGTAGATCGGAAAGCCAGTCATAAAGCTAATGTTTTTAGGCAGGATTTCATTTTAAATAAATAAACATAGATGGAAAGACATAAAGCCTTCCTATGCTATTGTAATATAAAGAGCTATTTTGAGTAGCATATAGCATGATCAAGAACAAATGAAAAAATGAAGAATGAACATTGCACAGAGTAGATAATGCAGCAATGAGGTTTGTCCTGGCAAAAATAGTTCTACTACATCATCAAAAAGTTATTCATGTTGACAAGCTATGAAATGTTTGCATAAGGGGAAAGGGAACAAAGTAGGAGTGCTTTAATGCTGTGCCTCATTGGAGCTGCCTTTTCCTTCAGTCTCATTTAACTGCAACAGTTTGGTAAAAGAGGAAAATAAAAAAAAAAAAAAGAAGAGAAAGCACTGGCAATGCTGAAAAGACATCTGTTTCTGTGGCAGTCGACAGCCACACAGCAGCCCTCTGCTCTCTTGCACAAAAGGAACAGGCCTGTTGAGCTCTGCATGCCCACCCAGTCCCAGCCCATGGTGAAAGCCTGACCTCCTCTTGAAGACCTACATCAATAGCTCCTGCTTTTAAGCCTGCTGGGCTGTGCAGATGCAACCTATGCAATTGTTATTTGAATGACATGCTTGGACTCATAGGCCTGAGCCCTGAGCACAGGCTACCCCATCAAGACAGGCCTCTAAGCTACAGGAAGTCTTCCTTCAGGCTTGCAGATGAGTTCATTTCTTCTCAATCCAAATATAGTAGTGATTTCATATACTTATGCACACAAAGCTGCACTCAAGTGATGGTGGCCAGAAATGTCATGGACACCCTTTTCTGGACAGGACTAATGACCCCTGCTGCCAGGCCATCACTGGGACCACGGTGGCCAGGAGAGCTCTACAGTCCTTCTAAGTGTTTTCACTGGTGCAGGAGGTGACTCACCTCCTTCCATGGCTCAAGCACCAAAGGAGCACCCACGCCTACAGTACTGGCTGCCCCTTTCACGGAGACAAACCTGGAGACTAGGAAAAGCCTTTTCTCCATGAGGACAGTCAAGCAGTGGAACAGGTTGTCCCCAAACCTTGTGCAGTCTCTGTCTTCAGAGGATTTCAAGACCCTTCTGGGTAAAGCCTTAGGCAACCTAGTCTGGCCTCAAGGACAGGCAGTCCTTTGTGAAGTCTTTTTAAGTCTTGCTGAAGAAGGGTGGCAGGTACTGAATGAGGACAGGCACTAAATCCCCACAAACATATGAGTTGTGGGATTTATCCACTGCTGTGGAGAATGAACAAGTCCTGGTCCTGTACTTTCTCAAGCAACAAATCCCAACTCCTTTAAGCAACAATTTAGCCCCATTAGCAAACCTCAGCCAAGAATGCTTAATGGCTTGATAGAAGAGTGACAGTACTGGCTGGGCACAAATTAGCTCACCCTCTCCTATGGGACCTGATTGCTGGATGTGTTAAGGAAAACAGTCTCTCATTTTCAGTAAAAAAAAAATCATTATTTTGTATTATGTTTCAATGAGAATAACTCAGTGCAGTACATTAAAAGCTTTTCTCTCCTTATCTCCCTCTGTGCTTTTCCCAGGGAACAAAAGCCATTATGGTGACACTTTGAGAGAGGTGGCCCTTCAGGATACGCCTGTGGGCACGGTGCTGTGCTCTGTGGGCATGGCCAAATTTGTTTCTTGTCAAAGTAATCTGAGCAGGAAACATAATAATTTCACTTATGTCACAAACTGGGCAAGTCCATACAATTGCACATGGTATAGTTCAGGGTGGGAGCAAGGATTTTGGCTTTCAAAGGGTCCTGGTTCACCTCCTTTCGCTTCTGCCCCAAATTTCAGCCTTTATATACCTGTGAGGTGTCCAGGGTTCATGTTACCCTGGCTCACAAGTGTCAGATATTAACTCTTTTGGCCCAGACTAAATGGGTAACTATATGGTGGGCCAGCAGGCTGCTGGTCCTGAAGCTGCCTGTGATTGAAAACCCAGCAGATACTCACAGGATGTATGCGATGACCCCGATGGACCAGCAGTCCACAGCTTTGCTGTATGGCTTCTGAGCCAACACTTCAGGAGCTGGAAATAAAAAGCCAAACAAGCATGTGTTACAAGACCAAACGTTTGAATGTGGTCAAGAGACAGGACTCTGAAACTTGAAGCTCCCTGAGACTCCACATACAACCCTTGCATTTGTAAATACCCTGATGGTTCTGAAGCTCGTGTTCTCACAAAGAAGGAATATTACTAAAGTGGAGCAAATTCCCCATTTTCTGACTCCAAGGACAGAAAAAAACCAAGCACATAAAAATGTGTGAGAGGTAGAGGGCCATCACCTCACTGACAGAGGAACTTCAGGAGACTTGGAGGAAAACAAGGCCAAGCTTTGCATGGGTGCTGAGATCCACATTCACTCTGGCTGCCTCGCAGCTCCACCACGGGATTTCAAGAGGCAATGCAGAAAGAGCAGCGTGTCAGGGAGGTGATAAGCTACCTCTGCAGGAGAGGAAGGAGAGCTGCCACCACACCTCCTAGCACCTGCCTTCCAAAGCCTGCCGAGTGTCAGGGTCAGCAGGAGCCATTTGTCCTTCTGCCTCTGGGAAAACAGACACCTTAGAGGGAGGAACGAAAAGCAACAGGGATTAGACACGCAGGAAGGAGGTGAACCTTCTGTCTCTGCAGCTTTTGGACACCACAGCCTGAATTTTGCATGAAGTGAGAGCCTGGGCACTTGTTGAAACAACTCTTTGTGGATCTGCTTTCCTGTCTGACACCACTGAGGGTTAAAAAGGTGCATTTTTTGTTTGTGAGCCTGCAGTATTATATTTTCCCTGTTGGGACCTTTCAGTGCAAATGCTTAAACCTAAATTTGAAAACCCTGTGACTCTAATCTTTTTCATGTAAAGAAGCTTTTGCTTTTTTCAAAGCAAAATGTCCACAATAATGCAAGAAATCACTGATTGTGGCATTCCTAAAGCAGACTTGCCACACTGCGTTTGAAAAAGTAAAGTATTTCCTCTGACTACTTTGGAGTTAAATGCTGAAAAAAAAATCATGGAGAGGCAAGTCCAGGCAAAAATATTTCTTTGGGGTTACATCTTGCTCTGCTAGGAGTCTTACCAACATCAAAGCAGTCAGTTACTTGAAGAAGAGTGAAAAAAAAAAATGTACAGTTAAAACCAGAGCCTTACATTCAGAGGCTACATATTCTTTGGTGTACTCATAAGGACTCTTCAAAGAGTTATGTTCTTAAGGTAGACAAGTCAACAAAACTAAGGTAAAAGAATGCCAGCAAGGAAGGAAGCAGGAAACAATAATGAGAAACAGAAAAGACTTTGTGGTGCTTGGGCATGAGACCTTATAGAAGGGAGGGACCTTATTGCAGCCTTCCAGTATCTGAAGGGGGCCTGCAAGGAACCTGTGGAGGGACTTCTTGCAAGGGGTTGTAGTGATAGGATGAGGAGTTATGGGTTCAAACTGCAAGAGAGAAGATTTTGATTAGAAATTAGGAAGAAGTTCTTCACTATGAGGGTGGTGAGACACTGGAAGAGCCCGTCCAAAGAAGTTGTTGATTCTCCATCACTGGAAGAGTTCAAGACCAGGCTGGATTGGGCTTTGAGTAACCTGGTCTAGTTGAAGGTATCCCTGTCCATGGCAGAGGGGGTAGAATTAGACAATATTTAAGGTCCCTTCCAAATCAATCCATTCTATGATTCTATAATTGAAGGGAAGGCAGTGCATGAAGCAGATGAGGGCATCCAGGCTGCATTTCCACAAGCAGTAGAATGGTGGAAAGGGTCAAGTAACACTGGACACACATTGTAAAAAGAGAGAAAATGCAGAGGAATGGGGGTTAAAATATAGCTGGGAGCCAGATTATGAAGACTCTTGACAACTCTTGTGCCCCTTAATCTTACTCTTTCCTTCCTGATCATCAAAATTTGCCTCAAAGTTTTCCTCTAAGGATAGTATTTTTTTCAAAACTGTGCATCAAATAGGGTTTGAGAGACTCAGTTTCCTTTTTTTGTTCCATCCCATGTGACTGAATTTTGTGACAAAATATGTGGAAGAACAGTTAATTTTCCCCTCTCCTTAGATGACTAGATGTCTTCCAACTCTTCATTCCTTCTAAATTCCCAATATTTTATTTGCATATCTCTTCCACCTTTTACTGTCTGCTTCTGTTTGCATCATTTTCAAGACTGGTAATCATTATAAATCTTATACCCCCCAAAGAAAATACTATGCAAATGGCTCCTGAGCATCATGGATCCTAGTGAGCTCCTGACATTACAGGGATATGCCACATTAACACAACAGAGAACAAATCTGAGATGAGGGGATGTGAATTATGTAAAGACTCTTCTTCTTAAATCATCAAAGCTGTGTCTCTCTTCTAAAGAGTGAAGAGCACTGATAACAGACAGTTGCTGCTGCAGATGGTTGCTGTGAGGCAGGTAAGAACACCACAGGACCAAGCCCAGAGCAAATGTGAAGTATTACCTCCCCTTTGGTAAACTTTATGAAGAAAGGCAGGAGGTTTAAATAATGATTTTAAGGCCAAATGGCTGCTTTTGATTTTTGTTCCAAAGAGCAAACATGTAACAGAAACAGGAGAACACAGCTAAGCATCATCTGTCTCTGATACGTGGAGTACACGGGAGTATTTAATGAGCTGAAGAACAAGTCAGAGGAGCTCCCAGAAATGATGGTAGTTTAATGCCAAAAGGAAAAGGCAGGAAATGCAATGAAAAAAATCCAAGAGCTGACAGCATTAAAGGATCAACACAGACAGCTAAGGAGACAAAACAGCAGTAAGGAGAAGGGGAAAGCCAAAGCTCCCACTTCTGGGGCTGGGGAAACACTAGCTCAGCAAAGGCTTCCAGTATCACACCTCCCCAGGGAATCCCTGTGGGCTCAAATGCTACACAACGGTCATCCAGAGACAGGGAAGTCAATGAAGCAAACCTGGACCCTCCCTCCACATCCAGGAACCGTGCTTCAGGCCAAATCAACATTGCTACCAGCAACACGTGGCAGGTAAAGTGGTGGGGAATGGTCTCAGGGCCTCATCCCACCTGCAGGTACATGAAGACGTACTTCCCACCTACATGATCTCCTGGTTCACAGCTAGTTGTGGTTGTTTGTTTTTTTGTTTGTTTGTTTGTTTTGGTTTTTTTAGTTATATTTTGCATTTAATAAGAGAAAAAATTAAAAGGCTTGTTTCAAAGGGAGGTTTTAAGAAAAGGTGGGGAACAGGAATGTTGGGAAACCTCTCAGAGGGCTATTGCCCCCAGTGAGCACGGCTATGCTAATAAGCTCCCTAAAAATGCTGAATGTCTAAACCAGGAATCCATGTTCTTGCAAAGAGCTCAAGTGATGGGGATTGCTGTGATACTTTAAGCCTGTGGAACAAACTGTACAAGTCATGAGGGTGTTTGTTCCTCGTACCAGCCTCACACTTAAAAGCGATTCTCCTTCCCTCCCCTGACGGTGCTACTCCCCAGCAGATTTTGTTCTCTCACAAGAACTCAGGCTAATGCTGTTTTCTGTGGTTGATATGGCTTCCCACATGCTGCATGCCAGAAGGAGCGAGGCATTGGAACAAAGGGTGATCATTTGGAAGATCTCCATAGGACTGACAAATCAGCAGGCTGCCATAAATGTGTGAGGAATGGAAAGATCTAAATAGAGTGAACATAACGAGGGACCTGCTGACATTGGGCAGGAACATAGCTCAGCTGGCCAAGCAAATTGGGCTGGTGCAAGCCCAGGCTAGTAGTTCAGCTGGTAACTATTTTAGTTACCAGCCGGTTTCCAACACGTAGGCACGTGCTGCAAGGGAAACATGAACGGACTGCACGGGTACAAGATGGCCATGAAATCTGAGAGGGAAGGTGAGAAACTAAGTGTGTAAGGGACAACAAAGGGAGATGGTGCCAGCCCCATTGCCTAGGATTCTTGAAGGTACCACTTCAAGAAGAGGGTTGGAGATGAACAGTCCACACTTGGTTGGATGCACAAAAGGCCAGCGCAGCCCCTCTCCTGAAGCCAAAGATGGTGCAGGAGCAGTGTGAGCTCCTCTACTGTCACACAAAGTGTTCCTCGTACTGCAAACAGGCTAGGAGGCATATGAAGAATCTTTACCACAAGACCAGAGGCCCTTTTCCACTGACTCCTGGAATGAAACAACTTTTTTTCTCTCTTTCATACAGTCCTTCAGTGTTGATCTTATCCCGGTTGGCCAAGACTTTGAAGTTTGGGACTGCTTCTGAAGGACAGCAGGGTTTCAGTAGAGCATTGCTGGCTGCTTGTGCTCTTGTTCCCATTTCATGTTGCTGAGTCAGGTTTCAGGAACATAATGCAACCACAGCCACATGCCAGCAAATTCTGTTTCAGGATGCAGAAATGGAGCTAGGCAAACACATTGTCATGAGCTTGTGTGTGAGCAAACCCTGGTGAGAATGCTTCCCATGCTTTATTTTTACTTAATTACTCATGCAGCTGCCTCAACAACTCCTGGGGTTGCTTTTTGCTAATAAGGATATTCCAAAAGCTTATTGATGGTTTTCAAACCTTAGACTCAAAGGACACAGAACTGAGTCAAAATTCAGCATGGAAATCTATTGCTTACTTAAATGCTTTGGTCTCGTGCAGGGCTAAGAAACATGCATGGCTTCGATATGGTCTGAAATTGCTACTGAATTTCTGGCAGAGGTGAAAGTTGTGAAATGACCTTTCATAAGAGCACTGAAAAAATAAAAACAGTGAGCTGGGGGTGGGGGGGGAGTGTACAGGGATCAACCTCACATACAGGGTCCAGCCCAATTCCTACAACAGGGAAATACAAGAAAATTTTACTTGACTTTGGGTTGGGACTCAGAGCAAGAATTTTAAATCTCAGTAGGATTAAGATATTAGCCAGCCACAAATACAGTTCACAATTCAACATTTCTGCAGGAGATCAAGTTGCCCTAGACAGGCTTTCTAACATTTTTACCAAACTTTTCAATGCTCCTAAATATCTTGCAAGTCTAAGTCCCATCTGCAGAACTAACCAAAGCTTTTGAGACACCAGCTCTCACAGAGAGTCAGTCAGTGACACCTAATTCCCCAACAGCCAAAATCTCCCTAGAGGGATTTGCTGAGTGAATGGAGGCACCTCCTGGTGAATGCTCAACTTGACACAACCTCAAGGATGACTCATTTTCAGGCAGGTTTGAGCACCTCCTTCATCAAAATCAAGTTCTTTTAAACGGTCTTAAGCTGAGCAGACCCAATCTATGATGTTTAATATGATAAATAACTAATGATCTTACTTCAGATCTTGCCCATAATCACATAAATTTCTCACAGTTTTGAAAACACCACTTCTTCTCCAGCTTAGATGATGGATTGGGATCCATGCAAGACAGTCCACACACTTAATTTGCAATAAAATGAGCCACAAAAGCTGCCTCATCTTACTCAATTTAGGTGCTATCTAAATTTGGGTGTCTAGTCCCAACTCATCATCTAGACTACTTCTAGAAGAAATGGAGAGAGAGAGAGAGATAAGAGTGGTAAGGGGGTAAGAAAATGGAAGACCTTTTAATTGGAAGAGGTTTTATTGTCAGACCTCCTCTTCAGTAAGTAAACATTTAAATTTGCTTCTTAACAAAGGTAGCTCAACTAATTGTTTTAAATTATCCTAATGGTCATCTTCTCAGCATAGCACCAAAACCTCTGACAGAACTCCTGAAGGAATAAGAACCCTGAACTGTCAACAGTAATTAAATCTGTAAGGCAGAGCCTTAAAAGCTAATGTGCTAATGCACGGCTGGTTATGCACATTTTAGATATACTCTAATTTGATAAGTAATACTTCAGTTTTCAGAAAGAAAACTAGTATTTATTAGAAGTTTAATTGTAATTACATCCTCCCATATTCAATGAATTTCTGAACCACATAAACAGGAATTTATTATTAATGGTGTCTGAACCACCATTCTTTGGAGATGAAACTAAGAAAATTTGAACTGAAAAATGAAGCTCTGAGAGTTGAAAGTATATCCTTATCAGGGAAATTAGACATGACAGAGGGGGTTGCTTACTTGCAAATACCTGGGCAGCAGGTCTGCAACCAAGTCAGAAGCTTGTCCAGTACTTTGCATAATGGGATCCAACTGGATCCATTTCTGGAGATGAAGTACAAGGAGTAGCAGATGCTAATGACTTCTTAACAGAGCCATGGGGGTCTTTGAGAGGTGATAAGTGCCTAATTTTTTTCCAGTAATTTAAAAGAAAAGTGGTTGAACTGACAAAAGTAATTCCTCATAAAATCCTAGCAAATGGGGTCATCTACATATCTTTAAAGAAAAGCACCAGGAAACACACTGTAAGTGATGAATCCCTGAGTGTTACTTCAATGCTAAATAAAAAGGCTGGAAAAAACAAACAAACAAACAAACAAACAAACCAACCAAAACCAAAACAACAGAAAGAGATGGAAGACAGGACACCTCATGGGCCAGCACTGTGGCATGTGCCTGGCACGTGTGTGACATGTATTCATGTGGTGCCATTAGGAGGAAGGTTTTTTAACATTTATTTGAGGGCTTTAGGCAGGTGCTGCAAATTGCAATGATGCTGGAAGGCATAAAAAATTTTCTGTGCTTGGCAAATGCTGTCTGGGAAACCAATTACACTAAACAAACAAACAAAATAGCAGCACTAAAGAGCTGTCTCTTGGAAAAAAAAAAAAAAGAAAAATAAATAGAGCAAATATTACAAATGTTTAAAGAGGTTTTCTTTGTGAGGGAAGGGGAAAAACTCCTGTCAGCACTTCAGAAATAAGTGTCCATGACCCCTTGAACTGTGATGAGTAAATCCTGTGTTCAGTAAGGTAACAACAGGCCTGGAGGCACTTGTGTAGCTATCAGCACCCAGACCAGGAGTAATGAGAGCTCTCAAACATCTCTCAAAGTACTACAATTTGTGTCACATGCTCCAAGAGCTTCCTTTCCCAAATACCAAGTTTTCTCATGTAAATTGCTACGCTGAGATGCCACAGGAGGGATCCTTCAGTGCCCAAGCAGAACTGCACTCCCTCATTTCCATCAGCACTTCAGCAAGCATCCTCTTAGCTTCCCTGTGTCTTGCAGACTTATTCCAGTCAGTGCACGTTTCAGAACAAAATAAAACATGCTAATTAAGGACAGAAGAGTTGACAGCAAAAATTATGAAAATTGCTGGCTCAGCTCAATTCCTGCTAATACTTTGGAAGAAGATTTTCAGTCTGGTGTGATTACACCAGATCAGATATTCAGGCTGTACGAGTGCATCCTGACTCACATGTCTTAAAATAAAGAAACGATGGGCTGATGGCTCACCATGGGAAACCAAAGAAACCTGTTCCTCTTTGTAATGTCTTCAGCATAGAGTGTGCAGCATGAAGATAATGCCCCGAAAAAGGTATTCCTAGGACAAATCTGGATCACTAAAATTAGGAAATGTCAGCTGCAAAGCAATAGAAGCCTCTGAGTGCTGGAAAACTTCAGGTCTTTCCTGATGGAAAGACTTGAGACAAATCTATCCTTGGGGAAGCCACAGTCATTTTAGTTTTGTGGATTTCAATGATACCTCAGAGATTAATTTTATCACCTCAGCTGGCTAGCTAGGTATCATAGGAGGTTTGCTGGATCCATCTCATGCATGAAGTGAGCCTTTTAAATAGTGTTGGCTCAAACAGACCCTGTCATCACCTGTCACATAATTCTCACACTCAGTGACTTAAACTTTTTAAAAAGGATGCTGGTAAACCCTGCTAATGGGTAGTCTCGTATAATTACTCCTAAATGGACAGAAGAGCAAAGAATAAATCACAAGAAACAATTTCATACTGTCCAGGAAGGCCTGAGGATCTAAAGAGGTTTTGCACTCTGACATCTAGAAGTCTATAACTTAACATTGTTGTTACAAAGGATTATGGAACGTGTCTGAATAAATGTGGATCAGGGGAATCTGGCAATTGCTATAATTTATGATTAAAATCATATGTTACATTAGATAAAGCTTCTTGGTTTTACAGGTACTTTGCTTGCAGAATCAATGCATTTGAGGATATTCTTCACATGCTCCTATTTAGCTACAGGCAATGTCTCTGAGAAAACTCATTTTCCAAAGGATTATAGTCATGAATGTGAATCCCACAAACCCTGAACTTCATTGTAGGATAGGTACCCAAGGGAGAAGAGCACACAAAGCAGAGCAGTAACTTCTGAAAACTCTGTTTCTATACAAACATCTGAAAAACATCATGTGCACTATGAGTAGCACTGGAAAACAAGTATTATTCCCTTTTCAGGATGTGTCTGTATTGCAGCTGGGAAGAGTGGGTGCACAGTATAAACAAATGTCTTACCAACATAGCCAGGAGTCCCACAGGCTGTGGACATCACGTCTCCTTTACCCTCCATCTTTGACAATCCAAAGTCACTGATCATGATTTTTGACTCTTCATCCTGGCTGTAGTAAAGCAGGTTCTCAGGCTAGAAAGGAAAGCAAAGTAAGTTTTGACTATGTAAGTCCAGTTACAATGTCTGTTGGTTGATGTGTTGCATTTAATACAATCCTTATGTACACCATACACTAATATAATTTGGTTCCCCTAAATCCTAAAGAATTGTTCTTATAACCCAAATGGAGAACCTCTCCAAACTCCTGTATGGCAACTAATAGAAGAAGCTGACATCTGAGGCTTTGAGCAACTTTTGTGGGATAACAAACTTCTCCTTTAACACCCCAAATAAGAACTCAGGCATGCCTTACTTGTGAGATATGTCTGGCATATCACCACTTCAGAGTGATAGAACAGAGGATTCATTTGAAGACAAGCAAATATGGTAAATCCAGGTAATGTAATGAAAAAAATTTATACCACATATAAAAAAAGAAAAAGGAAAACAGTAGGTATTTGAGATTTTTTTGTATCTTCTCTACTGGAAACAAACTGTTCCATGAGAAGAATTGCTTTTGCAGTTAACAGAGTTGCAGCAAGGATGTTTTAGCTAGAGCTGATTAGGAAAAAATGCTGCAGCACAAAACAGAGTGACTTGTTTGTGCTGAAAGTAAACAAGAGTCACTCCACAAAGCCGTGTGACTTTATACAAACATCACTTGGTTTGGAGAGCCCAATCAACTCTGTCTGCTACGGCATAATCCTCCATTCATATGTTCTGAATGAGCCCCTGCTAGACAGCAAAGCTCTTTCTAGGTGCTGTGAGAGCACACTTCTTCCTCTACCTTGTACCTGGGCTTGCAAAAAGGTCCAACCATCTGCTGGCACTCTGACAGCCTGGTGCCAAAGGGGTCTTCATATACAAAAGTGATGGACATCCAATGTTTCGGCCCAACCCCGGTGTAGACTTCGGCCCAGGAGCTGGTACAAACACCCACCCACCCGCAGCACATTTGTCTGTCAGCCCTTTGTGTGCTCCAGGAAATGGTGAGGAGCAGCTGCAGCCACATGACATCATCAGACTCACTGGGACACATCCAAGCTTGGATTTGTAAGGAGGAACAATAGCCCTGCACCAGCATCTATCTTCACTCTTCCATGCTGTAATCTCCTGCTCTGGGGAAAGCAAGGATGAAGAAACACATCACCTTCACCCTACCCCTAGGTGCCTGCTTAGCCTCAATTTGAGATTAAAGCTCTTTTTGGCTTCCTGGGCCCACTGTGAAGCCATACAGTGATGGCTTTTCCCATGGGACACAATGGCCATGAGAGGATCTGCAAGCTGCATCCACAGCAAGGAAAACGGATTCCATTTGTAAAAAGGGAAAAGGGAAACAATTCTGTTTGCAAAAATAATAATGAAGTTGTACCATTTATGTGTCTTTCTCATGATACCTCGTAAGTCCAGTGCTTTAACTGGCTGTTACAAGGCTGATGCTGTTCTCAATCACTGAGTGACTCAGTTTTATGTCATAATTTGCCCTTGCTTGGAGGTAATTTTTATTTTAATTTTTTAATCCTGATTTTTACTAGTGCACTTCTGATCTGCTGAAGGACTGGTAGAGCTGGTACTAAGGCAAAGACTATTTCCCAATGATTTCTGCTAACTCACATCAGGCTCCCCCCTTACACATACTTAGTAAGGCAAAAAACCCCACCCACTTGTAACAAACTTGTTTAAAACACATTTAAAAGAACTCTGGTACTTCAAGCTGGTTAATTCAGAAAGCATTACCAAGGTGGCTCTGTACTAAGCAAACCTACTCACTTTCCCTCCTGCCATCTCTTGTTATCTGCTGCTGTGTTACTTAGATTAGAGACCTGGAGCTCAGATCTGCTTTTCCCAACTACAGCAAGTACTATTTTGGTAACTAAATAACACATAATTACAATAAATAATTGTAATAAATTGGAATACTTTATCTATGGAAAAATACATGGACTGTATTTTTATAGAGTGGATCCTTTCCCAGAGTTTTGGTTTGGGGATCACAGTTTGAAACTTACACTTATTTCGATATTTTGGGACTGTAAAGAGCCTTATTATATCCCTGGTTTTGCTATCATGGTATATTTGTACTAACAAGAAATTCACAGCAAGTGTTCCTCATATACCATCTTTTATGAGTAATTTTAACCACTGATATGGTACTGACAAAGATGTGCAAATGAAAGAGAAAAAGGGCTACTTTTTGCCCCAAAATACCACTGAAGAAGATTGGCTTAACTCAAGTCAAAATTTCAATTCAGCATATCCTTACATAAACTCTGAAATTAATCTGTAGATGAATTCACTTCCCAATTAACAGATCTCATATTTTATTATCAGAACTTTTTAATAAGATTAATCTCTTTTAAAGTGAGAGCTACAGCCTTCCTTTAAATTATAAAGACAGGAATATTAAGAGCTCGTACAATGGGGTATCTGAATGGAGAGGACTTGGACCTCCCTTCAAAATCACTGATGGCAGAAAGAAGCCTGAAGTTATTTCCTACATATTGAACTTGGGAGGAAGCTGGTCATGTAAAAATACTAAACAATGCTTCCATACTGAAATGCAGTGGAACTCCCATAAATACAAGAATATTCCTATGTACCTCAGTATAAAAGCAGGAAATTAATGGGAACTGAGGGCAACACATGAGCACTGTCGGATGGAAGACTAACCAGTGCCTCCTTACAGAAACCCCATTATTTGGAACTGTTAGGACCAAACAGCACAACACTGAGAAGGAAATATTATTTGTAAACATCAGTATATATTTTCCTTCACTGAATTCAAGGTTTTGCCTCAAAAATGTGTCAAATACTTTAAAAAATATTTTTCTACTTTCTCTTTATCTATTGAAGGGGGAATCACAGCTTTCCCACTTCTGGCAGAGGTGTACAGGACTGAGGCAAGCCCCTTGCATAAGTAAGGTGTGGAAAAGCTTGCAATCCTATGGGAAAGGCCCAGAGGCAGCTAAAAGATTCACCTCTGGAGTTAAAGTGCAGCAGAAGGAAATATCTGCACTGAGGTTGTCACAAAACGAGGCCATGTCTGCCTGTCGTGGGCTCTGCTCCATCTTGGAGAACGCCGGTGCTGGTGGTTACAATGGTAATGGGCTCTAGTTTGGCCCCTCTGCATCATATTCTGGGAGCAAGCCAGTCATTTATTATTTTACACGACACAGCATTTCACATCAGCACTAATTTTGAAGAACATACAAAGCAAGTAAATAGTATCTCAATTTCTCATCCATCTTAAGGCATAACAGTGACATCACATTCATGGTATTATAACCTGCACTGAGAGGAACTGCCAAAAATTGCAAACATGCAGTTTAATATTAGACTGTATTAAAAATACACTGAATTTTAAAATACATCTAATAAAAAATTGTAGTTAAGAAAAAAAAACAAATCACACCCAAACTTCTTAGTGGTTCTTGACTCTATTAATATTCACTAAACCTTTACATAATATGACCCCTTTAGCAAATTTCCATTCTCTTTACACAAGGACAATTCAAGGCCACAGCACCAACACCCAAGGAAACTCCTGTTTGGAGCATCCCTCCAAAACACAAAAATGTTATCTCATTCACTGAATTCTTCATTTCTGGCAGTAAAATTTGGTAGAATGAACCAGCTCAGGACCTGAACCTACAGATTCTTTTGACATTTTCATCCTTCTGTAGTGTTTTCTGCTAACATTATTTAAAATGCCAAAGATGGGGAGGTTTAGGTGCGTGTTATGAAATTCAAGTCTTTTTGCTTATCTTAGTGACAATTTAAGATACTGGAAGGAAACGACACAGAAATAATGTTTTGGGTTTCTTTCTTTATCCAGAAAAGCTGAGAATTTTTAATGTGATAAAACAGTACTGCTGAAAGGAAAATTATCTAAAAATCATACTGGCACACAATGTTCCTTAGAATAATTCTTGCTGTTAACAGTCTCTCCAAAAACATTGGTCCAAATAGCATGATATAAAATCATTCAACTTTCTCTCACTATTTAGTATTACTAATTATTAAAAAAGAGTAAATATAACACAACAAATCTTCAGGCTGCTTTACAGCAGTAAAAACTTCCAAGCCGAGATGAGTTTCCTGCCTTAATGTAACATTTTGGGTCTTAACAAATTACTTTTTCCCCACATCATATGTGCACAACTCCCAGTGTAACAGCACTGATTGCAAAGTCCTCATTAAAACCTATTACGATGGGAGGATATGGAGCCTTCAGAGCATCCCTCTGATGGTGAAACCTTACTGAGGCAGACAGTCCCAGTGGAGGCTGCACTTCCATCCGTTAGTCTCCCATCATTATGCAGCCTCTCTTAACACTGCCTGGAGGACTGAGCCGTGCTGTGGACATACCTTGAGGTCCCTGTGCACGATGCCCATTCGGTGCAGGTAGTAGACAGCATCCAGGACCTGCCGGATCAGGGTGCTGGCGTCCTTCTCCGTGTAGAACCCTTTCTCAACGATGCGGTCAAAGAGCTCTCCCCCAGACACTCTGGAAAACACAACGGGATGCAGAAGTGTGAGGGCATGCTTTGTAATGTGCTTTCTGCCTCGCTGGAGGGTGGTCAAGGCTGTGGACTAGCCATGGGCAGCCCAAGCACACATCCATCTGGAGCTCGGAGGGGTCTCCCACTGTTTGGTTTTCTCATAGTCCAAGGACTGGTCGTGCTATAATGGAAAATAAAATCCATCACACAACAGAGAACAGTCCAAGATTCACTACAGCTTGCAGAGGGAATTTACAACTATACCCCAGCAAGAGCCAGGAAAGCAGACACTGGTTTCCACACTGTCCCACCTTTGTGAACTTTGTATAGGTGAATTTGGTCTGCTCTGGTGCTGGCCCATGGAGGTTGTAAGGCTCTCTACTAGTATAATCCCTTTTCACATCGCTGACCAAGGTTTGGGCCTTGCCCTGGAGGAATGGTCCCATTCTCCTTTCCCTGCCAGCAAGTGAAATGCATGCAGTAGTTGCTGCTAGCACGTATGGAACATTAGTTTATTAAAGGATTCTGCATCTCTGGCAATTTTAAATGCTCTCAGAGGTCCCACCCTTTACTCGTACATGGACATTCATTTATTAGCAGACACAAACTCTTTAGGCAGAGCACAGTCTCTGCCCAGCACTGGCAGCAGACAGTTATTGATGAGGCAGAGCAGATTATCAGTGCAATTCATCACCATATGACACTGATGGGGAAAGGATTCCACAACTCAAAGAGGAAAGAAAATAAAACCTTGACATCCCACTATTTAATGTCTGCTATATTATGCATTTCCTCTGCCCTGCTAGAAATATCACGTTCTGAACCCAATTTTAAATAAAGAATAGACACATTAAAACTCCCTGGAGGAGCATCTGGGGAAACAAAAGAGGAAAGAAATGTCTGAGTAATTGAAATAATAAAACTGTCAGCAAAAACCTGCCCTACTAGGGTAAATAAAAGATTTCCATTTTAACAAGCAAAACCCATTAAAAAATAAAATGTATGTGATATGTTTTTTCAGCAGTTGCACCACTTAGCGTATCATAAATAGCATAGTAAAACTTTCTTTTAAAACAAACCTAATAAAAGGAAAATAATAAATTATTACAGTCATTAAATACATATGGACTGGGAGCTTGCCATTATATGAACACTAGGTAATTCAGCCACTCCAAGTAATAATCTGCTTGAATAATGCCATGAGGTCACTTCCTAGGAAGTTTGGAGTCTGAATGGGAGAGAAGGCTACCACCAAAAATGAACCTATTTAACTCTGAAAATCAGAAGCAACCTTGGAAGAAGAAAAACAACCAGCTAATACTCTTATTAGGCAAGCAAACAAAATAGCTTACTAAAATATTGGCATTAAACCAAAACTGCAGTAAAGGTGAAGTTCACCCAAGTCTGAAGTCCAACCGGGAGACCCTCGACCATCCCAGCAGCTCTGGGACTTGCTTCTTGTTGCCAGAGAGGCTGGAGCAGCAGTGCCAGGCTGACAGTGGGGCAAGGCAAAGGCCCTGGTCCCATTCTGAGCTGGAGAGCCTGGGACTCATGGCACAGTGGGGACGGAGGCACGGCAGGTGGAGCCTGCACCCACTGGCACAAGTGCCCTTGCAAAACAACCTGCTCGGAACACGGCACAGGAAAACTTGACTTAAACCCATTTCTTTCCTAGTTTCTCACAATGGGAGCTGTTTTTCTCATAGCTATATCTCTGTATATATACAGAGGGTGTTGCTCCAAGCTCCTCTCAGCCCTGCACCCTCTGCCCGACCCGCGGCGTGCCGTGCCCGGGAGAAGGGGCACACCTCTGCCTTGCTGCTGGGGCAGACACACGTTTATTGAGCCTGGCTCCTGTTAGCTCACTGTCTTTTTATGTTTCCCCTGCAGCCCCTTTTGTTTCCTGTGGATTGATTGCACTGAAAATTGAGCCCACGCAGTCATTAATCTGACTGAATACAGCACATTTCCCCAGGAAAATGCAGTGTGTGCCGTTTACAATTTCATACAGATACTCTGGTCCTATTCAAGAGAGGGACTGCTTTAGTAGATACTGATTTCCATCAGGTGCTTTCCTGCATGAGGACTCTCTCCTTCGATGTTTGCAGAGAGTATACTTCCACAACATTTTTTTCATTCAAATGACAAAATTTCCCTCCATGCCAGCTCATTCCCTAAGCCTTATTTTTTAATCAAAAGCTTTTCTTAGTCAAATTTAGTCCAGTGGATCTACTGTACCCAGGCTCAATCTGTTTATAATTTTATTTCAACACACGGAAAATATCTGCAACCTCTTAAATGATACATTGCAAACCAGAGCTTAATCCAAGGACTCAGGAGGAACAGCTGGTAGGTCTGCAGCCACTTGCTTATTCAGAGTATCAACAGCATCCCACGTACATGCTGAGAGTTGAGGGACCCATTCTTCTATTTATTCGTATGGTGACTCTGTGCTAGGATTTGCACTAAATGTTTACACTCACCTGTAAAGTCTCCCTACCATGAGCAAGAGTCATGGCTGGGGTTCACCTCCCAGGGATGCTTTGCAACTCAGCACCCAAGGCCATGGCCACTTTCCACATGGAGCTTATGTCCATATGGTTTCTTTCTTCCAAAACAGGGTTAACTCAACCGTAATGTCATTGGGAATGCTGGTCCCTGTATGGTGCCCAAAGACTGACATAAATCAACGCTCT